AAAAAAAAGGAGTGACTAGAAAAATAAATAAAGTTGATCTGCATGAAGAAGACTCTAATTGACTCGAAGTAAAAGTAATTGAAGGAGTAAAATCCAAAAGCGATGCTTGAAATTGAGTTTCATTCGAATTGAGATATTTTTTTCAGAGCAAGAATAAGAATCGTTTCGAATAAACGAATATAATTATCAATTTTTGCTCGTTCATTTCGATAAGGTGGACCTTTCTCAAATAGTCAATCATTTTTCGTTCTTTTCGACTTAAATAAAATCTATGAGAAAGTATCGAAATTCTTCAATTTTATTCGTTATATTCCAGTTACTCTTGAATAGTACTATTCTCAATTAATGGATCAATATTGATATTTCGACATATGACGTCATCCGAATAGATAAATCATCGATTGTCGAATAGTTATTCTATGAAGATTAGTAATGGAAGAACTCGATGATAATGAAGAGATGTTAGTCACAGGTTTTTTTCTTCATAATGGGTAATGGTGGATTAATAGTTAATTAATGAAGATTTTCCAATAGTTAGAGAAAAAAACGAAGCAATCATTTTGTCAAAGGTTTTTTTTTGCTAAGAATTCTGAAGGGACTTGTTGTGAAGAACGAATTGTTTGGATTTTATGTAATACATTGTCATACATAGAGTATGTTAGTTATGTTGAAACATGTCCAATAGATGATCATAATAGAACGATGAGAAAAATTTCATAGAATACATATATATTAGATAGACAGGATTGAAAAGATCTACACTATGTGATGTGCATTAAAAAGAAGAATAGAAGAAAGAAAAGAAATATACCATTGAATAATAGATAAAATAAAGCGAATACATATCTAAGAAGAATAGATCAAATTACAACTTGACAATCACATGAGAAAAAAAAATAGTAAATAAATTTAATATATGACGAACAATTAATGTTTGATAATTTTTAAATAATTCATAATTTGATCTATCGTTTTTTGTAAATTATCAGTCGATACAAAATTATGATTGAATTTATTTAACATTTCATCTGCATGACTTGATTGGAAACTTGATGATCGATAATCAATTATGTTCCAACATTTAAGATCAAAATTATATGTAAACATTAATTGTGGTTTGATATTTCTCATACCACCACATAATTCATTTTCAGTTCCATAATACTGTGTCATGAAGAAGGTAGGTGGTGTTGTTGTCCGATCTATTACAATAGTCAAATCTGAAATAAATGCTGAACCGCGTGCTTCATCTAAATCATGTTCATTTATATTCATTAATACATTTGAATATTCAATAGTTTTAAGAAAATTCCGTAAAACATCAACATTTAATTCATCAATTACAGACAAGATTGTGGAATAATTTTCTTTCATACGATTTAATTCACTATTGAATTTTTTATAAAGTTCATTATCTAATCCACCGATAACATAGATCTTTTCGAAAGATAAATTATTTTTGTCACATTTATTGAACATAGAAATCGTGTTTTTAATAAACTTTTGAACTTCTTTTTGAGCATCTTTTTCTAGATCAAACTTTGATGGATCCATATGGTAAATGAATGTTTTATTATCACTTAACAAAATAATAATAGCAAGACACGAATAAACTCCCGTAGTAGACAAACGAACATCAATTGATGCTTTTCCGAAGGTAACATTTTGTATGAGAGAAGACATTATAATATCTTTAAAAAAGAGAAAAAAAATTAAACCATTAACTCTATTTAATATCAATTGAATTTGTTCTTCGTTATTGTTACATTTATATTTACATTGTTCGCTGAAAATTCGATCGAAAACCACTGTGATGCTATGAATGGTTGAATTTCGTTAAGAACGAAAATTTCTAATAAGTGTTTTCTTATCGAGATGTCGCCACGAAATGATATGATATGTGTGTTTAAATTGTCATTTTACTATTGCAAAATCAGTGGCATGAGTCAATAGATTTAATCATATCTTATAGTTTTCTGATAATATGTTCTGATCTATCACGATTCATCTCTCTTCTTTGACACATATAAATGTAAAAGTTTTCTCTTGACAAGAAAAGAGAGTGAAATTAACAATCTAACTACAATAATGTCCAAATTTGATCTTTTCTTTTCTGTATTATCTTGAATTTGGTAAATTTAGTTCTAAATAACAAGTATTCACTTCTTTTTTTATTGATTCTTTATTGTTTGGATCATAATACAACTAACATATACTTCTGATGGATATCTAAATCAGTCGTCATTTCGTCAGTGTTGTATAATATGGATGTTTCTAACGATTTCATTGCATAGATGATTATTGATCACAATAATTAAACTCAATTCTAGGTTTCATGTTTTTCTTATCTGAATCTGATTCATAAATAATAATTTGATTAGATTATACGACCTCTATCATGCCATCTTAAATATTTGATTCTGTTCAGATAATCAAAGTTCCATTTCATAAACTAAATAATTTCTAGAAACTCGATATAAACGATGAAAAGTTCTAGATTTTACCGTCTCTTTTGATGGCGAATGTACTCCATTAATATTTCACATAGACAAACTACTGAAAACTATATGATCAATATGAATACTTTATAAGACGATATTTAAACTACAAACATAATTGACGAAGTTTTCCTTCCTCTGTTTATATATGTAAATTATGATCGATGGATTAGACAATAAAAATATCTTATGAAGAATTGTTGTCTATTTCCAGCTTCAACTGTATGGCTGATGATGACGACCGATAATATGATAAATTTAAATCAAAATCATTGCCAGAATGCGCCCTAAACTTAAAGGCGTTTACTGTTAACGATCAAATTGATTAAAGAAACGAAAGAAAGCATCTATGCTATTTCTATTGATATAGATCGCATGTAACGATCAATCTATGCTAGATGAGTAATTCTTTAGTCAATCTACAGCCATTTATGATACGACAAATGTAAACCAAAATTTACATCAGTTAAGACTAAAAACGAAAAATAAGTAGTTTGCTCCACTCATCGGAACGTACTGGATTAGGGATGCACCAGTTCCAGTCATGACTGGTTACCTAGTCCTCTCTCTACCCGACTGATATCCAACCCATTAATGAACTTGTTGGACATTCAGCATCACTTTTCATCCAGTCGGACTGGATACCTAAGAAGGACTGGGTACCCAGTCGGACTGGACTGGTGCATCCCTATACCGGATCATCGAATTGTAACGAGTGGTTCTGATTAAATGGCTCAATTTTCTTTTCTCGTTTTTGAGCACTTAGTCAAAGTTCTAAGAGTTTCTTCTAGGTTCATTTGATAGAGAATTGCCTACTCTATAGTGCGCATTACCTTTTTGGATTATATGTCATCTTATTAATAAAAGAAATAACGTAAAGTAGGGATAGGTAAAATTATAACTGCGATTTACTATCAAAATTTTGATGGCTTTTTCGCTTGTGTAGTTTTTTTGAGAAATAATATGATAATTGAGAGTAGAGTGTACTATGGATATGTTCAGTAGATTCAGAACTATCACTTAGACTACGCTGGTTATCCTTCTGCTTTTCTAAATTGTGAAAACTTCAGTGCACAAGCTGATTAGCATTTGCATGCAACATGAGGTTTTGAAATAAGCAGGGAAGGATTCGTCAAACGAACCCATGTAAATACTCGATGTTAAGGATTTGTATAGCAGAGAAGCCTGTACCTTCTAGAATTAAAACGAAGTCATGGAACCATACCGTATACGGACAAAAATAGGTACATAAATAAGCATATCATTGTGGAATCATTTGTTATTGGTAGTAGAATGTTAGGAAAAGTATTATTTCTCAATGTGAGTGAACTAAATGAAGACGATTTGTTTTACTCAAAGTACTTGTGACCAATAGCTAATAGAAACATTATTCAATCAATCAGTTATGTGAAGCACACACGACCTTTCAGCCTATTCCTTCCGTCGCAGTTATAAGTTTTACCTATCCTTACTTTACGCTGTTTCTTTTATTAATAAAATAACATATAATCCAAAAAGGCAATGCACTCTAGAGAGTAGACAATTCTCTATCAAATGAGTCTAGAAAGAACTCTTAGAACCTCGGCTAAGTGCTCAAGAACGAGAAAAGAAAATTGCGTCATTTAATCTAGCCCACCCGTTATGATACATATTGTTAATAAACAACGATGATCAACTAGAGTAGAGATTGATGATTAAAAACTGATAACGGTATTTCAAATTCGTCATATTTAAGTTATAAACAATGTTTTCCACAATTATTCCGTAATTTAAAAAAAGAACAAGGATCGGCTTCAGGTTTTCTGAGAATCGTATTGGTATCAGTCAATTTCGATTATTCAAGAATCGAGATCGGAATCGCTCATAGCAATATCAATGCTCACAACGAGTCTCTTTTCTAACATTTTTCAATTTTTCCTAAGAAAGTTATTGTAAATTAATCGATATGCGTTGTTTTCTGAACGCTTTTTTCCTTGATGCTAACATTGTTTTTTTTTCAACATTGTTTAATTAAATGCCTGAACAATTAACTTAAATTCGTATTTAAGAAAAGAACTTTTCAATCAAAAAATAGTGACGACTCCAAATCTTTTCTAATTTGAAATTGGAATCAACTATCTCATTTTCAGGACTTTATGACAATCGTCCATCCTTATAGTTGAACACAATACTTCTTCAGAATACACTCATTCTTATACTCTCACTTGCTGGTGTCTCAGCTATGTATGTAGTGTGTACATTCGAAAGAAAAATTCTAAACGATTGCTACAAAGTTTTTGATCATTTTAATCGCTAAGGAAAAGGAAATGAAACAGAGATTGTTCAATTTATTATGTTTATGAAATTCTACGAAAATTAAAAAGAACATGCCGACTTCTCATCTTCTCTTATAGTAGAAAATGATTAAATATTTGCTTAAGATAATTATTATATGATTCAAAAGTTTCTTCGCCACGCTAATCCACTAATTCTTTTCAATTTCTTTCTAGTCAAGTTCAGTTTGGTATGAACAGAAGAATATTTTATTATTTGTTTCTGTATATCACTTCCAAACGAATACTCAAGAAATATTTTGTCAGAAGAACAACTTCAAATCAAAGCCAAATGATAATCTCTTCATTCGAATCGATAATGATTTTTGACGATGAATAGTGATGATTTCTCGAACGAACATGTTTCGTAAGAAGCATCATGAGTATATCACGAGATGTTGAAGGTACACTTCGATAAGTAACACAGCATCTATTTACATGTAAGATGATGAATTTTGATGAAGAATATACGAGACTATCGAGGCATAATAGGATCCAATTCGCGAGTACTTTCGGTGGTGTGAGCGGAAAACGACGACCACCAAATGAAAGATATTGCAGTTGAGGAAAAGCTTTGTTCGTTGGCAATTGTTTGATCAAAGATACAGATGGATTGTTTGTGTATGATTCCAAACGAATATTTAGTTGTCGAACGGATGGCCAAGGTGAAGCAGAATATTTAAGAAGAAGTCGAACGTCAGACCAGTATAGCGTCAAATACTCAAGTACAGGAGCACATTCACGAAATTGCTCGAGAATAATTAAACGACAATCAATTGATATAACAGATTGATCATACGATTCCCTAGATCTCATTGGATTCCATTCAAAATCAACTCGAAGATAACGCAAAAATGGAAGTACTATACGCCAAGAATCTGGATTTGGATTCATTTTCTAAACAATCTTTTTAGATGAAAATGTCGATAGATTTACGTTGAATACTTACTTTAATATCAAAAAACAAATGAAGTGAATTAACATGTTTGAAATGAGTAAGAGTAGTGTTGATGGATAAAGGATCACGATCAATTATCCATTCAATATGAGTGATATTATTATTAATTGTCGATTGCCGTCCAATAGTATGATTATACACTAGTCGTTGTCTATTTAATAGATACGGAAGTGTGTAAAGAAACATCACTTCATTTATCTCATATTCAACAGTATAATGATTTAAGTTAAACCAATAAAGATCAATCTTTTCAAGTCTTGTCTCAGCAGGTAAATAGAGCACAAACTGAAGACAGCATAATTGAATCATAAAAGTTTTAATGCAGCTTTTAAACGCAATAAGTTCATTCTTATCTGCATATAAAAAAAACAAAAACCGATTTTTACCAACTATAGTTATAGACAGCCTGGCTTTTCTAGCATTGATACGTACCTTTAACATTACAATTCACCAAAATTAATGATTCAACTTGACTCATTGATCTTATATGTTCTATCAATATAATAACATTCCTAATGGGCACTTGTCGCAACTGTAGTGTGCGTAAATGTGGTAGACTGGCTTCACTTGTATTGAAATCTTTGGGGCATAATGTAGAACAAGATGAATCTTCATATCGATTGTACAATTGATACCTATCATCTATTGTCTTTTCCAGTGTAACATGAAGATGTTTTATGCACGGTAAAGTATCGCATTGTACTAACACTGCCAAATCGGATATATGTTGTAACGAGAGATGCAAATGGACAGTGTTCGGAAATGTAAGAACTTGACCATGACAGG